TAAATATTAAAGTAAACCAATTTCCCCTATAATCTTCAATAAAGTGAATTACCACTGTTTGCCTGCCGTGTACAGTCCAAACATTTTTCCTCTTTGGGCCTTAAAATGGTTTTTCTTTATGTCAACATAGAATCTTTTAGTGAAAAAAAAATACAATGAGTGAAACAAAAAGCGGGAATACAAGATCCGTACGGGAGGACGGTAATGCAAAACGAGAATGAAATGAACATTTAGATAAAATACAGTGGGGCCTGCATCGTGTACAATTACACTTCGGATGATGAATTGTTTAGTCGTGCATTAATATATCGGAATGCTCACTGGGAAAACTGCGTTTATTAAAATGAGTTTGGTATTAACAGTTATTTAAAATCGCCTATCCAATTGACATGAAAATGAGCTTAGGTCGTTTCACAATTGCATGGCATTTTTAGCGATAGTTTAAGTGTTATACTTAAAAGCCTACATCAATGACTTTAATGAATTTTACTTATTCATTGGATTGATTGAAATGATTCGAACTCGAAGAATGCTCTTATCTCAAAATAGAAAGTTGTACATTATGCCGATTCTCTGCCGCCGAGAATTTCGTTGCACTTTTCTTGTCTCTTTTTTTTCTGATGAGCGTTTTCTTTGGACCAAGATGTGTCAAATTCCTGAGACAGAGAAGTGCCCAAAGTGTTTTGATATGAAAAACGGGAGGAGCTATGAACAATTCATAGGCGCAAATCACAGCCCTAAGAAATGGGTGAATTATTCAGAGCTATTTCATCTTGGCAAACATAATAAAACTGGATACAGAAGCGAGAGTCAGGCTGGATGGAACGCGATGACAGGTTTCACACGAGGCTTTGCCAAACAATGTCAACATTGCTTTTGGTTTTGTTTTGAGAGGAAACTGTCGCTTATCTAGGAACGCTGTTAAAAATCCCTCGTACAAGGAAAATGAGAGTGTATATTTACACCTCTCCTTGAATTTTTCTGATAATTTTGTTTATTTTGTGATGAAAATATCAGGATTTCAGGGTTTTGAAGATTGAAATGATTTTTGAACAACACAACTGTCGTCGAGTTTTTTTATTTTTTTATTCGTGTTTATTTGGTAATGAAAAGATCCAGTGTCGTATCACACTGGAGGCGGCGAAGAATTTTGAAAGATTTAAGTGATACTTGAATAACAAGAATCAGCTTCAGTCGATTTTTGGCAAGGTATGCACATCTAGAGTTGGAAAATGTGTGATAGCTTTGCAGTGTAATTTTTTTTGGTATTATCACTTTCAATTTTTCTGAATGGCTGCCAATATGCTTGTTACCGGATTAATTATATGTGGTAACAAGCATGTTTTGGCCGCCATTTTTTTTTTAAAGTGATATCACCCAAAAAGCTGCCACCGCTGCAATGCTATCACACATTTTCCAACTACAGGGGTGCATACCTTGCCAAAAATCACAATGAGCATTATTCCCCTCGTTTGATACCGCCCAAACCCCCAGGCTGATGGCCTACTGTAAGATTATTCAGTTTGAGCTCATGTTTCTCACAACAAAACCTTATACACGCCATTAACGTTGAAATAAGTGCGAGTGCACAATAAGCTCTGGCCGTCTTGCATGAAAATCTTGCAGGTTTGATTGTGCGTACAAGCCCGGGCCGCCGTTCCACACGAAAATCACGCTGCGCTATCGCGCTAGTCTTTCCCCGAAAATTGACCAAAATACCCCTCTAAGTTTCCCATAAAATATAGCGTGCGATACATGTATAGCGTATATAGCGCGCTACACACCACGTGACTATAACGTCACTGCACATATTTTGCCTCCATTTACACAATTTTCCTAAACAATTTTACGCATTGATACAAACAATTTGTGTTAAGTATTTAATTAATTTTGTTCGCCTTTTTTATATTAAAATTTGGTGTTATATTTTATGGGAAACTTAGGGGGCTCGTTTTTTGGTAAATTTTCCGGGGACAGACGTATGCAAAATAGACGCGCATGTTCATCGATCTAAACAAAGCCGGTCTTCCGAAAACTTTCGGCAAAAGTGCATTTATATGACCACGGCATGGCATTTGATCATTTTTTTGTCAGACAGACAGACAGACAGACCGACCAACCGACCGACCACCAAGTGACATGTAGAAGCTCCTGCCAGAACTTAAAAACGTAATGTACCCCTATGTAATAAGAAACCAGAACACAACACTTGAGCAGGAGATGCTGAAGGAGCCTATTCTTCAGTGTTTGGGCGACATTTGTAATATTTGTAAGAGAAAATTATGTTGGAATGCCGTGCGCGGAAACATAAGGCTGCATGCAGTCGACTGCAAATAACCGTGCCTTGCTTTTCTCAAAGGACATTTTGTCCCTAAATAAATACCCTGAGTGAATTTTCTGTTTCTTTGTCCTTCTGTAATGTTTTGCAAAGCATCCATGTAAGGGTATAGGCTAATCGATGAATGACGGTGGCCGGGGAGTCAAAAGCTATAGAACGCAAGGGGGAAAATCAGGACATAAAATGAACCAAGTTCTACTAGCATCAAAGCTCTGACGGCATGGCATAGATTTTATACACACTTATTTTCGGAACGTTACAGAAGAAGTATTAAAACATTTCAAAATGAACCCAGACATCGGGTGCTTAATTCCAAATATCAGATGGTCTTCTCTTGTTTCCCTCATAAGTTGCAGTATCATCTGAATAAAAGCAAAACTTGATTTTCATGTCGTTAGACTATAACAGCTGTGGCATACCACTGCGTAACTTCTTAGTTCGTGAGCTATATACTCAGGTGATGCAAGATGAGCAGTCAATGAATGCCTACAAAATAAGATCAGGAAACTCGCTCGCCCTTCAACCATCAATAGCTCTTGAATAATTGGCATTCCAACTAAACATACAATGCCGATGATACCAAAAATATCATGTCGATAATTAACTTCTAGCACCTGACTTTGTACAGGATACATTACTTTGTTTTATGATATAAATATTGTAAATGAAGCATCTAAACCGTAGAAGTCTTTGCAAAACAAACCATTTTTCCGCCGTTTGAAGAGGGACTAGAGTTTAAGTATTGCACTGCAAAACTAAGATACTCACTGGAAAATTTATTTAGAAATTATTGTCATGTTTCTTTTGTTTTATTTCATTTGAGTTTAATTTGTGGACGCATTTTTACCATGACCGTCGCTACGCTGCAGTCTTAGTACAGCTCCGCGCGTGGATTGATAATTAATATTGTTCCATGAAGGAACCTCTCAATCATTTTCAACTTGCAAGGAGAATATCAGTTCGAAAAAAGTAGGCATCTACTCTCTTCTTTTTCCCCGAGCGGCAAATTCATCAGTCTTTAATCTGGCGTATTAGACCATGACTGATCTGGTGAAAGACAGACTACAGGTGATTACCGTCAGGACCTCAGCAATGTCCTTGAAGTTAGATAGTAAGGTTTAGCATGTCATTTTTTAATTGTTTATTTTTTGTCTATTATTCAAGTTCTCGTCTACTCGTCGCTCCACACTGAAAAATTGCCTGGGTTAATTTTACCAAAGAAAGGGTGAAAACTGGAACTACCCAAACTTGGGTTGTTCTATAACCAATTGTTTGGGTTAGAATTTCTGCTAAATTCAACCAAAACTTGTGGTCATTCAAGACCAAATTTAATTTGGTCTTGTATGAATACAGCTTTTGGTTGAATTTAACATAAATTATAACCCAAACAATTGGTTATAGAAAAACTCAAGTTTGGGTAGTTCCAGTTTTCAACCTTCCTTTGGTAAAATTAACCCAGGCAATTTTTCAGTGCATGGTGTTTTAGAGCCGGTTGGGACTTGGGAGAACAACTTCGCTTAGGTCATACCCTGTCAAACATCCAATTTATACGCAGTCCAATTTATATCACAGGGAATGATGCCGCATGGGTTACATATAGTCTGGATATTAGCTAGTTTGATTGATCACTCGTTTTGATACCATCATATTAGCCACGTGGGTTGATTGCACGTTCACTACTGGCCAACCCTACGAGGGAAATCATAAGCGTACCATTGCCGACTCAAGTAGGACTATCAGTTATTCGTGATCATAAACGCCTTACAGGAAGAGCGCACGCATGCGTCTTGTTGGACACTCCCCCGGATTTATACCTTTGGACGCATTCTGCGAATACTTCCCTTCAGTAAGGAATTCTCAGTTGAAAATCCCGTCTTCAAGTTGTTGACGGCAACCAGATTAAACATCCCCAGACGAACAGTTGGATGTATAAGGAGCAAACCAAATTACTTTTCTCTCGGCAAACTACTGGGTCGGCTCCCCTAAATCCTTTTAATACCGGGATCATTGGTATTGTCATCGGTTGTCTCCCGGCAAGATATCAGGAGGGCACGTAGCGCTGGGATTAACGAGTCCCGTCGACAGACATTGAAAGGTTCTCCTACACACATTATTTACATTCTTTAGAGAATATCTGGAAAGAAGCCGCAGCCCAGCCGTACATTATCTGCGTGAAATGGAATATCTAGACGAACGGAGGACATAGACAAGATCTTTGCACGTGTCACGTGACAATCTATATCCACTCTTGGTTCGCTGTTGATGGAATCAAGGGCAGAGAGCACTTTTGGCAAAATGTTTTCCTCAAAGATGTACGCGTATTTGTCAATTTTAAACAGAATTTTACTTGCATTCAGTTCAGTTTTTATGTGATGTAGGTTCTTTCAAGAAAGAGTGCGAGTTAATGAAGCCACAGGTTTTGATGGCTATGACTAAGGTTGTTATCCTTGTCAGACATTTGTTTTTATTATTCATTGCACTGTGCGCTGCGCGCCACGCGCGCGCCGTGCGTTGGTACGAATAATTCAATGACATGTGATCAACGATCCACCAATCAGATGACGGGGATTTATTCAGATGTTGTATAAAAACAAATATTCAAACAAGTTCAACTCACAAATAATTGGCTGAGACAATGAAGCATTTTACGAAAACTCTGAACATTTATTTTAAATCTGTTTTTACACGCCATACATTTTTTTTATACATCGACATGCTATTTATTGTAATGGTTATATATATATAATTTGTTTATTTTGCAGGAGAAAAACCGGAGACATTTTAATAATAATTCACGTCTTTCCTAGTACTCGTTTGTCAAAAGTCGGTTTTCATCAGTTCTCTCAGTATGAGTGAGATGACAGCTTTCAACCTAGAAACAAATATACTTTTTCAACATTAAAATACGACATTAACAGCACTATATACACGGATGTCATAAACATCAGTCAGTCTATGCGTTTATTCAAACTGTTCTTAGTTGTCTACATGTATTTTGTGTCCTGTTGTACTTTTGCGTGTCTTTTATTCCATACCCATACCAACAGGGAAACAGTGGATGGGGAGTTACGCTTCCACCCTCCACAATCATGCACTGATGTCTTCCGGGCACACAGGTGCGCTAATTATTCTAGTCGATTTCTATTATCAAAACCGCGGCGGATCGATTCTCATCAGGGATTGTTAGTATATTCGTGCTCATCAGTATGCATATGAACAAGGAAATAACGCTCAAATGGATTGGACAGGATTTGGACAGTGGCGCCAGAGATACATCCAAGAGCATAATTAGGTACTCAGATTCCTCATAATGCGAATGACTTTGCATGCATGGTATACATTGTTATCAAACGGCACAATTAAAAGTTTTATATTTCACTGAATAACGCATTCTTAAATGTTGTTAGCATGCACCAACATCACCCAAAGTAGTAGTAGATTTTTACCTGCACTCTTGTAAAAAAAAAAAGATCAACCACGTAATTAAAAGGAACGAAATTATAATTTATATAATATTCGAGTGAGAAATACATTTTACCGTAGTTGATTCGACTATGCAACGCCAATACACCTTATCAAATGAGCTTCCCAGGTAGCTCATGGTGTGACTATATCTGAGAGTTGTTAATAAATTTGAGCCGTTTAAGTTGATTAAACTACCCGCTTGGGACTATACTTATCAGGACCGCTTAACAATGTGCCTTCGTAAATACACACGCCCGTCTGAGGGATCCTTACAACTAATCCTGTCATGCTGACATCGCTTTTGTGAATGCAAACAACGATAAAAAAAGAAAGAAATATATTCAGGAGCACCAAACAAAGTTTTGAAATGCAAAAGTTACAAATGTAGCCCCATTGCACATATTCCTCTACAGAGCCTTACATACAAACAATTAAAAGTTCTTAATTAATCAGAAGTCCTTTTTTGAAAGTTATTAAACAAAATGCCCAGTGTAATGTGCGATCTTTGATTTTTTTCGGGTGGCATGACATTAGGAAAAAACAAAGAAGAAAACATAAGCCCAACTGGGACTTCTGCACAAACCATAGCATTTAATAGTCATTCGCATAGCTTCAGCAACTTCCGTATGGAACATTCGTATAGTAATTAATAGGGACCATTAGAAATGGAGCGGGTACGGGATGCGTAACAGGCTCGCAAAAAAACCCAGCTGGATATATCACCCGTTTGTGGGGTTACTTCACTAAACCCAAATAAATACACCTTAAAATGTTGATGTGAAACGCTCATGCCCACGAGGTGCCAGATGAAACAGCTATATACAAATAAGAGATCTAACAAGCAACTTTGTCCCAGCGGCATACGTGTATCCAGTACGTGTACCATCTCTAATGGGCGCTATAACTTCGTCCTTCGTAGGTAACGAACCCGTCCCAAAATATGCGAGGTATTGTTTCGTAACCGGCTGAGTCAATATAAAAGGACATCTGGATGAAGAAAATACCCCTTTTAAACTGTTGAATGGAGAATCCTAACACTGTATCGGGTCCAAATTCCAATAGCTGTTGACAACGAAGGTGCATTTGCCAAGAGTGGTATTTCACCTTCCACATTTCCAGCAACATGTATCACTTTAGAACACTGTAATTAATACCAGTCCAGATTTCGACATTATACGATATGTACGTAAATAATTAGCAACGAGTATTATAAACAGCGAGTTCCTCATAACAAATCTGATACTTTGATATAATAATAATATTTTATCATTTACACTCTGTACAGAAATAAAACTTCATTGCGGATATTATCTGAATTGTTACTTATCATGGACAACATCATATATTTTCTTTTTCCCATTCACAATCGGAGACAAAGCACACAATTATGACCACTTTCCAACTGGTTAGCAAAAAGGAAGGTAAATACATTGTAAACCATAAATCATTAACTAAGAATGATTTAAGAAAATTAAACAATGATAGCGTTAAAGACAGTCTCGAGATCATTGATATTATAAATATCCTCCGGTGCTTTTGGTTTTGAGATTTCAAATTAAAAATAGTAGACCTCCTTTCAAACACGTCTTCAAAGCTAACATCGCATCGATACTTGCCGGAACCGATTTTAAGTTAAGTACAATATCACTATTATAAGAAAAGAGGAAAATTAATAATCACATTACCCGGGATAATACAAATTCGAGTGACCTTTCCAAACTTGATGTTGATTACGTGGTCGGGGAAAAATATTAAACCAGCAATTGCGCAAATTACTTTTGCGCTTGTGTTCTTCTTTTTTTTCGACCATTATACATCCAATTTGGAAGGGTTAAAATCAACGAAACAGATATTTAATTACTAAAATATATACATTTTTCATGACAGAGATCTCGAGAAGAAGTTGCTTGGTATTACCAGGAAGTTGATTGATATTACCAATCAAGTTATTATCGAGACCTGAGTCATGAAAAATGTATCGCATTATTGTAGCGATTAAAAGTATCAGTTTCGTTGACTTCTATTATTTTTTTTAATTTGAACCAGACTTCATATTCATATTACTAAGTTAATTTTCTCCCAAAAAGTCATTATATATTTCTGCCTAGTACCTACTCCCAGAATTGCTACGGATTGGGCAGTTGAATACTCTCCCAATGGATCAAACATTCCACTTAGGATTCTCATGGATCAAACATTCCACTTAGGATTCTCGCTATAGATCGACCCATTAGTGGGTCCAATAAACATGTGCATTTAACATCCATATAAAAAGCATTTCAATTCGCAGCCTCTGCCTCCCCCCCCCAAAAAAAAAGCAAAAACAAAACTTGCAAACGCGGCCAAACAAATCCAAACAGACCTGTTTGTCGTGGACAAGGCTTACCTTTTATGATTCGATCTGTTTAAGTACCTTTGTATGTCATTTTTAAAGGTTCCAAGATCAAACTTTCATCGGAAAGGGTAACAAAATATCAAACCACAACGACCCCCGCCCCTCCCACTTTTACAGTAAGGCAAGGTATGTCGTCGATGTGTGTCTGTACGTTAAGTCGTAAGTATCGGTTTCGTATAAAATAAAGTCAGAGTTGAGAAATCCGTCCGTTCGTTGAACGTCAGTCTGAACAACATTAACAACCCGTTAGAAAACCTGTTTCGTTGATGATTCCTAATAGATTTCCCGATGTTCTTTATTTGATAACTCTGAACCTGTGTCTATGTCACTAGCCCAAAACATCGCGTATAAAAGTTATGTATGTTCTGCTTCTGAAAATTGGTCCCAAGTTACACAAGTGAAAAATTCCCCTCAAGCTACATATATCGGTAAATTGCTGGCATGCAGTTTCGCACCTGGTTTTGCCTGGAGGCAGCCATCTATTTTTAAAGCTGTCATCGAGATTATTACATACAGGAAAAGGTTAATGTCCCGATTCTACGCCAGATGCAACTGATATTGATCACGAGAATGCAGATGACATGTCTGTGTCATGTCCAAAGGAAGCGGGCAAGAACCTTTTTTTCCCTCAAGTCCCGTACCTCAAGACAGAACATGTCACAAAGTAGGTCAGCCATGACAGGTAATGGTGAGCTGTAACGACAGAAAATGGATGTTCGTCTCTGAGACATTTTCATCTTTGGTCAATATTGATCAAGCAATGCCTCAAGGTAATATCAAAATCAAATTCTCTCATTCCCCCGCGTAATGGCAAGTTACTGTCACGCTACCTGGCCTGTCTCATTACCTATGATCAAAACAATCGATCCACTAGACCTGGTCAGGAAAAAAAGTACACATATAACAAACGAGGTTGATTTAGTCATTAACCAAGATTTGCTCCTTTTTAGACTTGTGTATATAGGCCTAAAAACAAATGAAGACCTACTCTTTCTAATCACCGCAAGTTTTCATTAGTGGTGACCAGACATTAATCATAATTATGTAAGCACTGAAAGCAATATAACCATCAAGTTTAAGACGTGTAATTTCTTCCTATAGTCTCTATTTTGCCGCAGACAATATTTGTTAACAGTCTAGATATAAAAACGGTTGTATATGAGACAGCGGAGAAGCGTACTCTTCAACATGACAGGGTTCTATTTTACACCTCTAACTTATTTTGTTAATAGGAATTCGATTAGTATTTAAAATCGAGGCACAAAATTATGGGGGAAATAATTTACTTAACATAAAACTGATCACTTTTAAGGCAATGTGTAATATGCTTAAATACAAAATTCAAAGAATACTTAATAATTTGTCAATTTTTGGGATTTCCTTTTTTTATACTTTCACCCAGAGTCTAATTTCCATATGTACTTTTGGCGGATTTTTATTGAATCCAATAGTTAGCTTGTCGTGGAAACCTCTCACTTTAACTTTAAAACACAGAAAACCGCTGGAATTTAAACAGTGATACAAAAACATTAATATCCAGGATTCATTAACAACACCGAGGAGTGTCATTGATTTCAGCAAGGATGTTTTCGCACTCGGCTTTTGTGCCTTTGAAAGAGCTCTCTTTAAACAGTGAATAATAATCTTTTTTTTTCTTTTTTTTTCTTTTTTACAATACATAATTTTACAAGAATACCCTTTAGTACCGATAACCTAAATATACCAAATGGAGAATTCATATAAGCACTCGCAAAGCACATTTGATATCAAGACAAGCATTGTCCAACCTACATTATCCTTGAATTTAGCCGGGATTAACAGATATTTACAAATGGCTTACCAAAAACAATCTCGTTTGAATAAAATGAGCAGAATTTTTATTACGAATTGCCTCTGCCGGAGAAACTAGTTGATTGTGTTTACTATCACTTTAAATGCAAAACCATTATATTTACTCTTATCTCTTTGAGAGGCACCGCAGAGAGCACAATTCCCGTTACATACATTACAATTGAGAATACAGTGTTGGAGCGCCGAAGAAAAAAGTCATCCGCGGTGAATATTAAAAAAAAAAAAGGAAATATATTCGGGAAAGAGGCACAATAAGAACGTTCGAGTCATGTTGTCGGTGAAAAGGAACTTGGTCAGCAAATCAGGAAATTCGATAATACATTCACTTTAGTGGACGGTCATGTGCTAGACTAATGGGTGAAGTATTGATATATACATATATATATATATTTCTTTATAAGTTGAAACCTACTTCTAAGGAACAGAAGAGTAAAAACACTCAGCCTAAAAACAACCTGTTTCCGTGAAACAATTTGATGCTTAAACCATTTCAGCATAGGTGTACAGTAGAAAGAGCCTCGTAGTATCGCATTGTATATAATTGCCCGTATTTGACTTAAAACAAATCACACACATTGCGCAAATACACATACTTTGCTTTGTGTACGTAACGATAAGCGAAGCATATTCATACTGCTTATGAGGACAAACACGAAAAACAAGAACGTACTGTCAAGGAGTTTTGAAGACGCGGCAAATTCAAATCTTTAAAGCGCACACGTGGCGCTGTCTTTGCCGGTATGGTGCCGCTACACGTCCTGTGCAGGCTGTCTTGTTTTGAAAGTTGACTGGGACTCGACCAGGAATCTGAAAACAGTAAGGCCGACAAAAGGAAGCCATTAGCCCGGTTCATATCGCTGAGGGGTCAAGTCAGAAGTACGTCTGGTCCTGTGTTGAACCGGTCGATATATTCCAATCAATTTCTGACGACGGTGGGCGTCACAGACATCAAGTATCTTCGTCAGTTTTAGAAAAGAAGCCCATTTGGAGGCACCAAGGTAAGAGCTTAGTGTTCTATAAGCACTGAGACATATCGGTGACTCTTAATGGAATTCCAAATTTAAAATGTGCATTTATTTCCTATTTCGACGATGTTCTACACTGATACTTTGAATGGCGTAAGAGCTCAAGGGGAAACCTCCCCCATTGTTACAAGTCACACTTTAGTGTCACAAGTGTTCACGGAGGAATATTCATTGACGTACTTGCCAATCTTCTTGTAGGTGTTGGAGGGGCCCATGCTTTTCGTGTCAGTGGTTTCGTTGCGGGTTGAGCAGGACAGTACACGCTTGAAGTGTTTCTTAAAACTGGCAGTGGTGAAGGCGTATATAAAGGGGTTGGTCAGACTGTTGGCGTAGGACAGGCAAAACGCAAAGAGACGCAGGACTGTCACGGCCATTTCGGTCGTCAAACTCAGGTCGAAGTTCTTCCGGAACTTATCCCAAAGTAGGATGCAGTGGATGGGCGCCCAGCAGACGGCAAATAGCAGCACCACGATGAAGACCATGCGAGTGATCTTGCGCTTCTGGCGGATGGACCGCTCGTGCGCCTGGGCGCTCTCCGTACCGGCTGAGGTTTTCCGCCACACGATGACAAGAATTTTGGCGTAGCACATGAGAATAACGACCAAAGGGACCACGTACATGGAGAGAAAGGAGCCCAAGTAATAGAACCGGGCACCTGCGCCGTCATGTCCCATGTATAGATAGCAATCGCCTTTCTCCAAGCGGTAGAAGATGGCAACTGGACTATGCACGATAAAAGAACCTGTGTAAAAGAGGGGAAAAAAAACAATCAGAGATTTAACTTGGAAATAAAAAAAATGGGACTATGTGCACCATATCAGTTTAGGAAGCCACATTGTTAAAATCCTTACATAATATACCCAAAGCGATCTCATTCGATCTTTTGATGTAAATACAAAGATTTTTTTTTAAATTAAATTACTCTTCATAGGTTCAATGAATAGAAGTTATAAAGAAGGAGAACTCCCTATATCACAACGCCGCGCTGTAATTTCACTTTTGTATATGAAAGTCGATCGAACCAATTAAAAAAATACTGGCGACCTATTAGTCTTTTAAATATTTATTATAAAATAGCTGCCGAAGCCTTAGCAAATCGTTTATCAAGTGTTATAGGAAACATCTTTAAAGAAGATAAGTCTGGTTATCTCAAAAGAAGGTTTATAGGAAACAATATTAGATTAATTGATGATGTCATTCATTTTAGAAAATAAAGGACAAAAATACGGCAATTCTCTTCTTAGACTATGCAAATGCTTTTGCCACAGTAGAATGGGATTTTCTATTAAAAACGATTATGAAATTCAATTTTGGATTTAGTTTTATGAACTGGATCCGAACAATGTATACAAATATTCAAAGTACAATCATTAACAATGGCTGCATATGTCTCAATTTTTCACGTAAAAGCGATGCCTGAGGCAAGGGTGTCCTTATAAAAAAAATAATGAGTTACTTAGGGTAAACTTACCATCCCTGACTTTCAATGTGTTTTTAATAATTGTATTTGGCAATTAAAGTAATAATTTTGCTCTTAATCACCATTGACATTAACCGCAGTCAGAAGTAGTTTTTTTATAATACATTTTACATGCTCTAATTGACGTCATTGGGAACACCTTTTAAGCATTTGTTATTCGAACCCCACAAAAATATGTTTCGAAAATAGATAACGTACTGTTTTCGTTTATCTGGAATGGCAAAACAGACAAAAATCAAGAAGAACAATGATTTGCAATTTGAACGAAGGCGGTCTTAACTTAACTGACTTCTAATCTCATAATATAGCATGCACTGAACTGTAACTGGATATACAAATTGTTAAACACTACGATCGGGAAACGGAAAATCCTTTGCGATTTGCATCTGTTGTCGAGACCTTTCAGTCCTCAATATGAATTTTAAAAAAGCAAAGTGCTGTTCACGTATTACAATAAGCCTTCCACAATTTTGTAAAGAGTTAATATTCTGTTGGCAGGAACTGAACTCAACAAAGATTTTAAAATGGATTTATAGCCAACTGATATGCCTATCAGAGACAAACTAATTAAGAAACATAACTGGTTAGCAGAAATGTATACATTAAAAAAGGCAATACCAAAAGAACGGTGAATAACCCTAGCAAATAATAAAAACAAAACTCCCTTTGAAAAACAGGTTTACGTTCATGATGCTTTAAGCAGTTTAGAAAATATCACAAAAATATACAAGGTTTTAATTAATGAAAAAAGGTAGAACGCCATAGTCACAAACGCTGGGAAGGTTGTTGTATACACCCTTTACTCTCATCACTTTGGTATTTAGTTCTTGTTGACCATTAGTGTAAGATATTATTCTAGATTCGTGGCACCGTCTCACTCTGAAATTCCCTTGGTATAAGTCTCTTAAGAAATGAAACGTGGTGGGCAAGGGGCAAGCCATTAAGCATTCATAAACACCGTCAAGCTTAAAGGGTATTTAAACTACAAAATTTTGCTTGAATCCCTACGAATCCTATTCAAACATATCCTATGTGCATATTCTTTGCACCTACGTTCTGTACATAATCTTAATCCCTTTTCAAGTTTTCCTTGCCACTCAAGCGGCATATTTGAATGTTTAAAAGCTTTTGTGCATTTGTCATCTTTATTGGTAAGCGATGATGTGCATGGCAGACACAAGGCAAACGTAAATTACAACCAAAACGGAAAACTATGGAGTACAAAAAAAACGTCCCCAGCAACATACAATGTACTCAGTTTTGTGTAAAAAGAAACAAAGGGGGGGGGGGCTCTGTAACAATATCCAGAAAGGGCACCTATAAAATTTCTAAACATTTATTTGCCACAGAAACCTGCACAATAAAATGTGCTAATGTTGATAGGCCTTAAGGGATCGCAGCTGAGCTCAAAGAAACTTGACGCCACCACGTACTGAAATTAGGTACCAGGTTATGGGATGAATTCTGCATGCTCTATTGAGCTATCGATATTCCCTCGTTACCATGAGGCAAACTGGTGAATGGCAACTGACCTGATGGGTAAAAGTCAAATTACTATGCATTCCATTTTGAGCTGCCACATACTTCCTTATTACTCAATCCTAAAGCAAAAATGTAACATGTGGAGGATTTAAGACTTTCATCTTCAAAATTTTGAAAGATTACGTGGGTTCCCGTGTCACAAATATCACAGTGTAACTAAGACATCCCGTTTTAAATCAACTTGCTAACCAACAGGCCAGCTAGCCAGCCAGAAAGATGACCTCCCGCGTGTATACGCGCGGCCTTACCTGGAGGGTCATTTGCTGGAGGACGGATACCAAAAAAACCGCGCGCCAAACGTGACGAACGCAATGCTGTTTACGCGCACAATGCACTGTGCATCGGCACCCTGGTCTTCATGTGCATTGGGTTTCTAGTCCCTACCTGATTCCGTGGGACTTTTTTTCTGGGGTTTTCCTCCCACCTTTAAAACTGTAATTTCTTCTCATTGTCTTCTCTCTGCAGGTTTCTTCAGGTTTGCGAGCTACAGTGCCTGGGGCATGCACTTTTGAGGAATCCTTGGTTTCATAACCAGAAATAAATAATTAAGAAACATCTTTAAAGAAGATAAGTCCGGTTACCTCAAAGGAAGATTCACGGGAAACAATATCAGATTAATTGATAATGTCATTCATTTTAGTAAAATAAAGGACGACAATACGGCAATTTTCTTCTTATAATTCGTTTACTTATTTCAATTATGCACTTGTCATTTTTAAGGCTGGGTTGGGGCAACCTTGAAAATATACAAGCACATATTTCTGCGCAAAAAGTACTGCATTTATTAAAGTTAATCACGAAAAAATAATATTAACAAAATTCATATAAAGTACCGTACAAATAATACCATAGTTCGTGTGAATAAAAACTGGGATTTGCATTTACTGCCCAATTGTTTAGCATTTACTCGCTTCAGTATACAGATAAATCTAAATAAAGCAAACGCTTTTACTGAAAACCAGCACAATGTAAAGGTTAACAGGTTTATGAGTTTGCAGAAAATACAATCATCGTAATCGAAATGGAAAGCGGCACATGTGTGCGCGTTGAGCTAGGTCACGTGCTGCAGGACAGATACATTAAGCTGTATTACTTTATGTTAATTTTTTGCGCGTCCACGAGAGACCACAAAAAGGCGCACATTAATCGCATAGTGAATGGGGGCGTATGCACGCGCTGCCGATCTAGTCTGTTTATTTTATATCTATGAGTTCACTAGGCTTTCATAGGTAGTTAAAAGCGCCATCTACTGTTTGTGCACAGAGATCGTCAACCAGCCAACCAGCAAACAAGCCGGCCACCAATCCAGCAGACCTGCCAACCTACAAGCCAGCAAACCAGCCAGCAAGCCATCAAGCTAGCCGTCCTACCGACCGGCAAACAAGCCAGCAACAAATCTAGCCAACGAACTATCCTACCGAGCGGCAAACAAGCCAGTAACCAATCTAGTCAACCAGCCATCCGGCAAGCCAGCAAGCCAGCCGTCCTACCGACAGGCTCTCAAGCCAGACATCATTTCAGCCAACCAGATAGCCGGTAAGACAGCTAGCAGCCATCACACTGACGGGCAAACAAGACAGCCACCAATCCAGCCAACCCGCAAACCGGCAAACCAGCCAGCAGGCCTTCAAGCCTTCAAGCCAGCCATCCTACCGACCGGCAAACAAGCTGGCCACCAATCCAGCCTCCAACCTGCAAGCCAGCAAACCAGCCAGCAAGCAAGCTAGACATCTTTACCGACCGGCAAGCAAGCCAGCAACAAATCTAGCCAACAAATTATCCTACCGAGGGGCAAAACAAGCCAGTAACCAATCTAGTCAACCAGCCATCCGAAAAGCCAGCAAGCCAGCCGTCCTACCGACGGGCTCTCAAGCCAGCCATCAATTCAGCCAACCAGATAACCGGTAAGCCAGCTAGCCAGCCATCACACTGACGGGCAAACAAGCCAGCAATCAATGTAGCCTACCAGCTAATCGGCAAGCCAGCAAGCCATTCGTCATACCTCTCAAGCCAGCCACCAATTCAGCCAACCAGATAACCGCCAAATCAGCCAGCAAGCCGTCAAGCCAGCCATCCTACCGACAGTACCAGCAAACATGAGCCAGCAACCACTTTAGCCGACCAGCCAACCGGCAAGCCAGCAAACCAGCCGTTATACGGACGGGCAAACAAGCCAGCCACCAATTCAGCCAACCAGTTAGCCGGTAAGCCAACAAACCAGCCATCATACCGACTGACAAATACGCAAGCCACCAATCCCGGTGATCAATTTAGTAGCCAACCGGCAAACCAGGACGCCAGCCATGATACCAACGGGCAAACAAGCCAGTCAGCAATTCAGCCGACCAGTTAGCCGGTAAGCCGACAAGCCAGCCATCATACCGACCGACAAATAAACTAGCCACCAATCCCAGTGACCAACTAGCAAACCGGCAAACCAGGACGCCAGCCATGATACCGACGGGCAAACAAGCTAGCCACCAATCCAGCCAGCCAACCTACCGACTGACCCATGACACCGACTTTCCGTTACGGTTCAGGTTGACAACATTACTTTTAATGTTCTTTTCGTACTACCCATCTAATCTTTAACGTGTTTATTGCTATCGTAACGCGGCGTGCGTAATCCCATAATAAAACAAATCAAAGGAGCAACCCGCCTGTGTGGGATACATTTTTTTCCAATTGGATGCTCTGTGTTTTCTGGACATTTTGCTTTG